AAAATGAATCTAGCCTAACATGCTCATATATAAATTATAAGAAGAATAATAGAAAATATCACTCGGATCATGAAATAATTCAAAGACGTTGATCTCCAATTTCAATGTTGAATTTTTCAAAATCTTGATATAATTAGCCTTCAATTCCTTGCTAAGGCTTGATATCCTCTCAAAATATAGTAATTTGCTTTTTGTTCTTGATGAATTTGATGATAATATTTTGTATGAATAGGCAAGAGAGGTTTTTTTCAATGTGTAACCCTCGTTCTCTATTTATAAGAGTCAGAAAATATGTCAAAATCCTATCCAATCCGGGTTGCAAACGAGTTTGAATCGCCAAAAGAAACTAAAGATTCGTATGCAAAAATAGCCCGCGCTTGCGTACTGGTACAACTATCTAGCTCGCGCCGTAGAGCCAAATGGCTCTTGGGTTAGGGAAAACAGGATACCGCGGGCGTAAGTTCGCTTCGATTAGTCTCTAAGCAGCTTTCAGTTATTTGGTCATAACTTTCTCTAAAGATATCCGATTAAGGTGGTTCAAGATGCATTGAAAAGATAATTCAAAGGAATACAATTCTTCTAGAAATACAATGTTTTCAGTTCGAACGTTTGCTATCCTAAAAATGGGTCTCAATTTGAGGCTAAAAATTCGGAGCATAATTTTTTCAACTGGAAATTGATTTGTGAAAATATTTACATTACATTTCACTTTTTCGACCTCTAATTACATCCAATTGATCATATATGATCTTTAATCATCGTTTTGTGTTCCGAATCAACTAGTATATGTTTACACTTTGATCCTCAAATTTTGAATTTCCTTCGTTTTCGCATATTTTCGTTCATTTCTTTCAAATTGCATTGAGTTCAACCTAACAACTATAATTAACACAAAATTAAGTTATAACTCATCTAAATCATTAACAAACACTCTAATTTAATGATTTAGATAAGTGTTCATCAAGCATTATCAAGCAGGAGGCGTAGTCAAAGTAAACTACGTTTAAACAACTTGCTTATTTCGAAAGCTAAATCCCTGAAGTAGATAGAGACTGAAGCGTCCAACTTATTGTGATTGAGAGTGGGGAACGTAATTTTTTTAAACAGCATTTGGTCCAATTAAAATCTCGTCAACTTTACATCATAATTTAACATTTTTTTTTTGTTTTATATTAAGGACCTTATTATTATATTATAATTAAATTACATTCAGCAGTTACGGCGAAACCCCCCAACAAAACAAGTAAACATCTGAAAATTAATTAACAAAAATGTGTTCACATAATTAGAGTTAGATGTCAAGCTTTGCGAGTCCGAATTTCACCAAACTTCCCGTAATAATTGATCAAAATTAGAAATATTTTTATTTTTTCAGCACACATATTTTTCGTCCCTAATATTAACTAATGCGTAGTAGGTGTGCTATCCTTGTCCTACGGCGATTTCAACATTTTTATTTCTTTTCTTCTTCTTCTTGGGTACGGCATATTGGAGATTATTAATCGAGTTGTCGATGACTGATTAAGAGATTAATGTGAAGGCAAGTTTAGAGGGTTAGAAGAACAATCATGGTACATGTACATCATCTTTTACAATGTGTCACGTGGCAACACACCATTGAACATTAAAAAAAAAAAAAAATTCCCTCCAATTTTTTTTTAACACCCCATGTCCACATCAAATGTCAAACTAGAGTACATTTTCAGCATTTTTGTTAGGAGAAATTTTTCGAAAAGTACACTCTTTTTGTTGAATTTAAAGTAAAAATCTGTCTTGTACTTGACAAATTTTTGCATACTTGTGATTGAAGTTGAGTGAAGTTGTGGAATTACTTGGTCAAATATTCAACGGTCAACGTTTCACAATTTCAAATTTGGATTTCATTGTTAATCATATCCTCAAGCCATAATAATTTTACTTGTAGACCAGTCTACATGTTACAAAACATTGGGATTAGAGTTGGAAAAATCAATTATTCTTAGCAAATGAAAAAAATCAACATTGTGTCGGAAGTGTAAAAATGTGATGTGGTACAGAAAGAAGAAGATTTCATGAAAAATGGAAATTGATGTCAATAGGAATAATTTTTCGGAGAAGTTGGGATCAGTTTTTGAGTAGAAACGACCTCATGAGCAAACTTAGGGACTTTGCCCATGATGTATGACATTTTTTTCGGCCAAATTGTACCGTTAAGGCCTCTAGAAACACATTTTTTTTTGTTTTTTTATAATTTCATTTTAGTAAATGAATTTAGAATTCAATTTTGTTTGTTGTGGATTGATACTGAAGATTAGAGCTTTTAATTTTCGTCATTATCGTTATCTTAATTTAAATAAGGATTGTAAGCCTTAACCATAGTCAAATTTTTGATGAAGTAAAATTTGGCAAGAAATTTTCTCCCAGTTGTACTCTTTCTTGACATTAGTGAACGAATCAACAAGTTTGAATTTTCATGTACAATTTTTGTTCTTTCTTGTAAGCTACCGTTATGTTAAAATATATTAAGGGACAATCGAGGAAAAACAAATTTGTGACAACAAATCACGACTTAATACGTGAAATATTGATAATGTCAATTTTCACGTAGAATAATTGAGATTTGGCTTCAAAACATGTTTTTACGACTACAAAATAGCAAGCTTGTGGATAATATAGCTTACAAATTCTTTTCCTGAAAACTCCCATTTGTAGTTTATGACACTATCTCCTACACAGTCAAAAGTGTCCGGTAGAAGAGGCCAAAAGCAACTTGAAAGGAACCCCTTAAAAAAAGACAAGTCAAAGGATAATTTAATCAAATATTTAGAATTATGTCATCTAGATCACCATTGAAGTTCCTCGAAGTTGCTTATTTCTTGCTGTTTAGCTCTCTCTCTTAACCTTCAGTATTGCTTGGGACGCTATATATTACGCTCGAGCAAAGGTTGATTGTTGCGGTCTTCCTTTAACTCATCGATAAGGGACGGGGAAGAGTGGCCTGATCTTCAACTAAATTCCTACAATTATAAGTGTCACAATGCAACGATCCGATGGTGTTGTGAGCACAAAACATTCATGTTCGATCCCTAATACTGATTTAATCCCTAAAGTAGGAAGCATCCATAAACCGATTCGAAAACGGTCCAAAGCATCTAAGAATACACCCACAACTCTTCTCAATGCCAATCCAACCAATTTTCGGGCCCTGGTGCAACAATTCACCGGCTGTCGAAGTGCAGGAGCTTACAAAGGACCCATCACCTTGAACTTTGCAGCCCCACATAATGATTTTAAAGAAACTTCAACTACTTCCCCACTTGGCTACAATTACAAGACCCGTAAAACTCACGAGCAACACCAGAGCTACCAGCATCAACTCGGACACGAGAAATTTCATGAAGATCAAGCAGGTTTCTTTTCATACGACACCAACGTTGTTAGTGATGATGCATTTGTGTCAACTTTCAGCAACCCTACTTCGGAGGAGTTGACTTTAGACGAATTTGATTTTGACAACATTCTTTTTCGAGATCTTCCTGGATATTATTCCTCATCCGGAACCATGATTAATGATGATTTTTTGGGATATTAAGGTTAAGGTTTTTATGAATGTTGATTATATTTTGTTGTGTACATATCTACGCTAAATTTCTTTCTCCAGTTTGTTTTTGTACGAGTATAACCATACATATGGACATTATTATTTAGTATTTACGAAATAATGAATTATCCATTTCTTTAAGATTCTTACTTGGCTTCAGAAGAGAATTAACTGGTTAAATGGTTAGGATTGTTATATCATATTACAAACCAATTTTAGGTTTTGGACATTTCAAAATGTATAAGTGGATTTTCATTTATGGGGTTAAATTATTGCAGAGGAAAGACTCCATGTACTTTTTGAATCAACCCAGAAGGGTCTATCATTAGGTGGTAGGGTTATGCATGAGCCACGGTTAATGGACTTCAGAAGCTAGAATGGTTTTTGCTACTAGAGATCCAATTTGACCCTCAAGGATCATGGACCCACGGGCCTTACCACCTCCCTTATTCGGCCCCCTAGACCCTTATTATGGGTGAGCGGTGAGCGTGAGCCAAAATAAAGACAAGCCGTGAACGCATCTTAAATTATCTGGTTAGAGCGATGCGTATACTAAGCCCCAGTTTGTTTCACATTAATTTCACAGGGAAACGATTTTTCTGACCGTTATTTTCAAAAAAGTTGGGCCTCCTCTCACACAAATTGATTAAAGATTCCAGCTACAATGGTATAAATTCTCTTTAGTAGTGGAAACAAACATGGGCTAAACACGAGAATCAATTTCGTAAGGTACCCTTTGATTTTAGCTCGCACATTAAGGATGGAAAATCAAGGACAATTGGACTTGGTAACGATGAGCCACATTTGAGAGGGGCTAGGGTTTTAGCACGTCACAATATAACTATATAAAAACATGTATTAAGATTCATTTTGAAAAACGCGCTCATCCAACCAATCTCTTTGTACTTTTGATTTACCTAGGTATGATAATCCATTCTTGAGTTAGGTGTGTGCTGATCGTTAATGAGCACACCTCGACACTCCGCATAACTCTTAATTGTTAGTGACAAAATAAGTTTCGAGGAATTACTAATAATCATAATAACACAGCAACAATCACGAGTATTCTTACAACGAGGGTACCTAATTAAGCCCCTGTTTGATACACATTAAACTTTTCATTATCATTCTTCTACTCATTTTCAACCACACATTTTTCAATAAAATAATATTTTCCATCACATCTATAACTTTTCCTTCTTTTTCAACCACACATTTTCCATCAATCTACTATTCCAAAATACATTCTTCCAAAATAATGTGGCTCAAACACACCCTAATTGACGTTCAGAGATTACACTGAAAAATGCGGTGACCAAATTGAGATTTCACTAGAAGTTTAGTGACCCCATATGAAATTTACTCTACCGGCGAAGTTTCACATTGGACAAAGGGCTTGGAGAGCCAGACTCGAGTTGCAATGGCTAAAAGCATTGGTCTCAATTCCTCTTCAATTCCAATCCCATATTCTTCTTGTGGACCATCATCCAATGCAAATCGCAGGCGTCCCAATTTCTTAAAGCTGCGTGCTTCCTACTTTGATTACCCTCTGGCTAGCAAAATTATCGTTAAAAGTAAGTTATTTCACTTCTGTCAACATATATTTCATTTTCAAGAATTTGATTTATTTTCCAATGTAATCTTCTTTAAATTTTCCGTACTTCGAAATAATATATGTCGTTTTGTTGTTAGTTTTGATTAATTACGTTCCCACTATGTAAAGTATGAATTCCTTATGAACCAAGATGTGGATTTCACATCGAAGAGATGAGAAAATAAATTAAATAGATTTTTTTTTCTTGAATGTCCCTTTTTTTTTAATTGCGGACGTAGGATTATTTTATGTTTAGGATTTTGTATTTTTTATTCAAGAATAATGCTTCTGTGTAATGGTTACTTTCTTGAGGACATTAATGTTTAGCATTAGGCTGTGGACTACTGATTTCAATATGCTCTTCAACTTGAAAGATAAATTTCTAACCTAGAAAATGAAGTTCTTCACAGCTGTAGGGTTTGTCGGGTAGACCATCGATCTTTTGATGGTGTGATAGGACGAATAAAACTTGTATTATTGAATATGTTGTGTCATCTAGATACACAAAGTGATAAAATCTTGCTTGTTGCATACTTGTGGTAGTGCCAATGTAGATTGTAGACTATAATAATGCTCTGGCATTGGAGTATCCAATTGATTGTTGGACAGTTGCTTGAACTGCTATTGCATTAAGATTAAAGAGGCCACGAATCAACCCTAAAAGACCCACACAATTCACTTCCTGAGTTTAACCATGATGAAGTCGTGTTCATGTGATATGTCCATCAGTGGCAAAAATTATACCTTGAGGTGAGATAGAGTTAGTGCTCAAAATTATATAATGCTTTTCCTGAAAGTAATTTTTTTGGGAAAGATCCTATTATTAGTAATCTTATTCCCCTTTTTCTGCATGTTTTATCATTCCAAATGATTCCAATGTAGAAAGTGCCATATTCTTTTTGTGTTCGTTTGCAATCAGAAACAGAGCTCTAGCTGAAAGGCAGATTGTATTAGTACCTTAAGTGAAGTGGCAGATCCAACTCCAGGCTGCCATAGATACAGTGGACTGTGAAATTTTTGTACCTTCGATGATTATCCATACCACCGTCTCATAAACATTGGGACTTAAACGAGTATCACAAAATGTGAGGCATTTGAGCATACTTTGGCTTATTATATTATGGATTACCTTGTTGATTGAACATTTTTGGGATTTCATGACCTTAGCAATTCAAATCGAAATATATTATGTTCTTGTGTAAGTTAATATTTTCATTGTTTCAAGTCGTGATAAGGAAATTCAGCATAAATTATTTTACAAGAAACACTCAAATCATGCTGAACTTCAGAAAATTTTCCATTAATTGAGTTGACCAAATTTAGAATTAAATTCCTTAATAGTGTCTGGCATAAAATTATTGGAGATTCAGGGGTCTCTATATAATTAGTTGATAACGTAACGCAGTGCTGAAATTCAAAAAAAAATGAAGGAATTTTAAGGGAAATTAAAATTGAACAACGCTAGGTTTTGTACGGATTCTGTTTACTAAAAATCCCTTAACGAGCTATTAACGTCATTGATGCAATCAGCATTCTATGAGGCAGATTTTCTAAGATCCTCAGTTATTCTTTACCCCTCAACTTTCACTTCTTGTTTCAAACTCATTGATGCTTTGGTTATTGTTTTTGGTACATTAGCAAAATAAATTTCATATATTAAAAATAATATGCTCTTCATATACTTGTATTAGTCAATTACTAAATGTATAAGAGCATCCCCAAGATACTTATCTTTAAATTCTCCAACAAACTCTTTATTTTACTTTTTCCAACACTAATTTATTGTTTTTCCCTCATTTTTCGATTAATACGTCTTTTTCACATTTCAGTAGCTAGCATATTCAATATGATATTAATATTTAAGTAGTGGAGCAATTAAATTTGTAATGTTATTAAATGCAATCCTGAAAAATACAGATAGAGAGTTTGGCTCTACAAATGTAGATGGTCAAACATACTATCTAATTTAAGAAGTTAAAATAAAAAAGTCTCTTGGAGCTTAATTTATGGTTTGGCTCTTTAATTGTTGTACATTTCACCCAGATGTACCATTGTCCACTAGTGAAAGTAGTTTGCAGAAGGAATTTTCGAAATTTGGGCAGATAGCTGAAGGTACATTTGATACTTCATTGAATATCTATTCTCTACTTTGATAAAAGTGAAATCTGCTTTGAGTTTATTTATGGTGTCTTTCCATACTTCCACTGGCAGTTAAACTTGTGAAGGATGAAGCTACAAAGAAGTCGAAAGGATTTGCTTTTATTCAATATGCTTCACAAGAAGATGCAATGCTAGCTCTAGAAAGCATGGATCACAAGGTTTTAAATTCTTATTTCTGTTTTCTGTTAAGTATTCATTGCATATTGATTTTGAGTTTGAGAACTCTATTTTTTAAAAATATTTCCTTCTCCTGTTAGTACTTTGATGGCAGGGTACTATATGTTGAACTCGCAAAGCCTAGAAAGAAAGATTTTGGCGGGTACCCTAAAACCTCTGGTCCTCCTCAACAACAAAGTGGTATGACTAACAATGAGGTTGACAATTGACAGAAGCTGCTATTGACATTGCACTTTAGAGTGCCTCTATCAGATGTATAAGTTTCCCCTTAGGTCAGTTCCGGTTATCTCCCACACAAAGGTTTGATCTAGAAGGTCCAGTCTTTTTCTCTGCATATTCATATACGCACTTGGTAGCAGACATAAGTTCACTTATGTGCCCATCATATTTGTAGAGTCTTGTTTGTGAAGATCGTTGTACCTTCTTGATCCAGAGTAAGCACTAATTAAGCATACGATAAGTCCCTCGAGGAGGATGGAGTGGAGTCTTCCAATATCTATGTCTCATTGGCATGCCGTATTTAGAATTTTTCTCAGAATGTAAACTCTGTAATCAACAAGCTTTATACGAAGTTAAATTCAAGGTGTATGTTCTGATATGGCTGGCACAATGATGAGTGCTGATTCTTGATTAGTAGTGTGTTTTGCAGGGCATGGAGCTGAGTTCCTTGTTTCTTCTCAAATTATCCTTTTGAGGGATAAACTTTGTAAATGAAAGAGTGGACCAAACTCTTTTAAGTCAACGTGTGATTTAACGTAACATTAGGTCCCTCCAGTATTGGAGTTGCCAAAACTATTTTGACTTTTCTACAAATTAAAATGTTTATCTTGGTCAGATTGAGTTGATGTGAAGTATCGTCAACCTATCATGCTAGTTTATTTTTAGTAGATTCCAATAATGGAAGAAGGCAAGAAAAGAGACGAGCATATTGAAACAATCTTGGTTCCAGAAGGCTCTCTTTGTTTTCTGTCATCACCCCTTTTTGGAATATGTTCAATCAAAATTTTCGAACTATCCCTGTTTTCGAGAGGAAAAATTGCAAAACAGTCCCTAACCTTTCACTTTTTCGTAGATTTTACTCTGAACTTCACTTTGTGCCAACCACAACCTTAAACATTTTAAAAATATGCACTTGGGTCTAAATGGATGGAAACGACCATTAGTTGACCAGATAAGTCAAGATAAATGCACATGATAAGTGTGTATATTGCAAAGAAAATAACGACGAGCATGTGATACTTTGTTTATATGTAGATGACATATTAATATTTGGGATAAATTTATTATTTGTTAGTGATGTGAAAAGGTATTTGTCAAAGAATTTTGAAATAAAAGTTTTGGGAGAAGCTCATATAATTTTGGGTAATTGGCGCAAAACTTCTCTACCCATGACAGTCCTTGTGGAAAACGTCCATACGTTTGATTTTTTGGTGCAGAACGTCCACACCTTTGCATTTTCTTGCCCGAAACGTCATTTTCACCAAATTTTAACATAAAATGACAATTATACTCTCCTATATAAATAAAACAAAAAAGAAAAGAAAAGAAAAATAAAGAATAAATTGCAATCTTACTCCTAAACGTTTTAAAAAATGTAAATGAATCCAAAATTTATAAAAATATTAAAAATTACAAAAAAATTCTCCCCCCTCTTCTCCTCCTTGCCTCCAAAACCATAACTCCCATGGTTCTCCTTCCCACATTCCTTCCTTCATACTTTGGTAAACAAAGGAAAATTCTTAAAACTAATAAGAAAATCCCAAATCACCCAACCCTCACCAAGAACCCTAAATCACAACAACCCAATTCGTCCCTAGATTTGAAGAATTAATACACCACACCTATAATCCCACCACTCCTGCAACTGTAATTAAAAATCATCGGCCTTGTTCGTCCGCTTCGGTGAGTTTAGCACCTCCCCTTTCCCTCACAGTGGCAAGCAGGTGTTTTGACTCCACAATATCCTCCTCAAAGTGCCCAAACGCCGATTTCACACTTGCCGACTTTCTTATCTTCGCCGGAAGCCTTGCTAGTATCTCTACACCGCCCGCCATCATCGTCAGAGACTTTGCCTTTCTTCATCTACTATGGTATTTTACACAACGAAAAGGCAATAAAATAAGCCTAATTCATTGGGACTGGAAGTCATCAAACCCGATCAAAATACGCATCAGAAGCGTACCCACTCGATGCTAGACTAGCGGCGAAGGAGGTGGAGTTGTCGCTGCTGGTGGCGCTGTTGCTTCCTTTGATTTTAGCCAGTACTTCCCTGCTTTTGAGACCATAGAGGACACAGTCTCGGCAAAGCTCCCAAAAATTTGAGCTTTAACTCGGCCCCTTTTTGGAGGAAGATTAGGCTTGCGTTCTTTAAGTTGGAGGCTTGGATGCCATTAATTATGAAGGATCCTGCAGAAGAAGAAGAACAGAATAATTCAGCAAATTTAAAAGAGGTCGTGTAAAAATGTATTCTCCAGGGATCTAATTTCAAAGGGGAATCAGAATTATGAAAAAAAGAAGATTTTGATTAATGATTATCAGATGTGTTGGGATTGAACTGGGGGTGGGGTGTGGAGGGAGGTGGAGGAGAAGAGGAGTGGGTGTTTTTGTAATTTTTAATATTTTTATAAATTTTGGACTCATTTACATTTTTTAAAACGTTTAGGAGTAAGATTGCAATTTATTCTTTATTTTTATTTTATTTTCTTTTTTGTTTTATTTATATAGGAGGGTATAATTGTCATTTTATGTTAAAATTTGGTGAAAATGACGTTTTGCGCAAGAAAATGCAAAGGTGGGGACATTCTACACCAAAAAATCACATGTAGGGACGTTTTTCACAATAACTGTCATAGGTAGGGACGTTTTGCGCCAATTACCCTATAATTTTAGGAATTAAGTTAAGAAAAACATTTTAAAGAATTTTATTAAATCAGTATAGTGCTATTAAAAAGATGTTGGAAAAGTTTCGGCACTATGATAATAAGTCAATTTCTACTCCATATGATTCAAAGGTGCACTTGAAGAACAATTTAGGTGAACCAGTTTGCAATTTGAGTATTCTCAAATTATTGGATCTTTATTGTATATAGCAAATAGGACAAGACCTGATATAGCCTTTGATATTGGGAGATATACTAATAATCCAAATAAAGAACATTAGAACGCTCTAGAGAGAGTGCTTAAATATCTCCGAGGTACATTAGATTATTCTATAAGCTATAGAAGTTTTCCAAATGTTATTGAATGATATAACGATGCAAATTGGATAATTGATAATATAGATATTAAGTCAACCACTGGATATATGTTCATGCTAGGTGGTGCAGCCATATCTTCTGCTTCAAAAAGACAAACAATTATCTCTAGAAGTACTTTAGAGTCGGATTTAATAACATTGGATATAACATGTACTAACGCTAAGTGGCTTAGAGATTTATTATTAGATATAGCATTAATAAGTAAGTCAGTTCCAGTTATTTCAATGCATTGTGATTGTGAAGTAGTAATGGATCTTGTAAATCAATCTTACTCAAATAAGAAGATGAATAAACATATTCAAGCAAGACTTAAGTCATTTAAGGTCTTACTTAAGAGAAATGTGATTTCTCTCAATTTCGTGAGATCTGAAAAGAATCTTTCAGACAACTTAACCAAAGTTTTACCCAAAAAGGGTGTTAACAAATCATCGAGGGGGATGAGCTTAAGCTCGTAAGGAAGTTACCTCCGGGAGTAACCCAACATTTGTGATTGGAGATCTCATAAAGAATGTTCAACGTGATAGGAACAACCCGCACTGTGTGACTCGTAATAGCACTATATTATTTGTGTTCATCCATATGGTGATAATGCTATGATTGTGATGGTAGGAAGGGTTTAACCCTAAATGAGTACCGAAACGAGAATTTTCGCAAAGTGCGGGCCACACGCATCCTTAGAGGACTCGGCTATGTAAGAGTTGTCATGAGGCCGTGGCTATGAAATTAGACTATTCCTTGGAGACTCTTACTAGAATCAAAATAAAAGCACATGTCCATTAACAACGCTACTCTCTATGAATTGAGCCTAAATCGATAATGTGTGTGGAACAATTAAAGTTTGCCTAAAGGAACCTAATTCAATGCTTTGTCCATTATGACTCCCTCAAATGAAAATTGTTATCACTAAGTGAGGTTCAAATCCAAAGGACACCTACGTCTATTACACAATATAATATTGCCACTATATACATATATATAATTATTTTGAAAGTTTAAAAACTTGTGGAGATTGTTGAAAATAAGTTTCAAAACTTTCAAATTGAAAATTAAAATTTCAGTTTTCTTATAATTTAATATTTCGGTTTTTCTTATTTTAATTTTTAGATTCAATACAAAATCTAATCTCATTATTTTAATTTTCATTATGAGAGTGTTGAATTTTTCCACTATAAAAGGGGGTGGATTTCCCATTGTTTTACACACAACAAAACAAAACTTGAAAACACTATCTAGTTATCTCATATTATTTTCTTATAATTTTGGTAATTGATAAGGGCTTGTTCTATCTCTTCCCGTGGTCGTGCCCATAGAAGGAGAATTGGCCACGAGGTATAAGGGTTTTATCTTGGAGCCGTGCAGTGCCGAAAGTACATGCACGAAGAGAAGGCCACATGACTTTAGGACAACGTTTAGCGCGACTCTTATGCCAACTTTTCTAACTCAATTCTCATATTTATATTATTTGATTCATTCTTATAGTTGATAGTTTATTACACAAATCACGTAATTTTTACAATGTCGCCCATCTTAACCAGCCAACCTACCACAAAAGCGAGCAAAGAATATTTTGAAGACACAAACGTGGATTATATAAGCAAAATCATCCGAGTAGGGGATGTGGAGGCTTGGAATTTGTGGGTGGAATTCGATGCGGGTTGATGGTTTTCCTTACATCCCTACATTTGGATTATAGCGTTGGTACCCGCTAATTTATAAAATATTGAGGATACTAATGTCGAGAAATAAATGTAGTCGATATAAGTACGAAGGGGTATAAAGATTATGGATAATGGCTACATCTATGTGTTGTTAACCTCCTGTCGACAAATGGTCAAAAATTGTAACTTTTTATGTGTTCTAGTGCTATATAGGCGGGTGCTTAACACTACGAAAGTCATATAAATTTACTCGTTGAATATTATTAAACTTTTGCGCTTCTAATTTTGTATTGTAAACTGCTTAAAAAGTGAAGCCAATGAACCTAAAGACATTTTCCGAAGATTGCAATTTCAAAACAACAGAAATAATGATAAAAAAAAAAAAAACTTTCGTTCGTAGAATAGAATTACCCTTTATCATTTCGGTTTCTCTTTCTCTCTCTCTTTCTTTTTTAACTTTTTTTGGTAGTTGATAAAACCTAGGAAACCACAAGAGAAAATTGTCTTAGCTACATCTTTTTTGTTTAATCTATCGTATTGGCTCTATTTTTTTTTTTTTCCTCGTATTTAGAATATCAATTACGATTAAAACATCGTGTTACCCCTCAGAAATTAACGAGAAAGAGAAAAATAAAGAGTTAATTAGAGATGCACTTAGAAAGCTTAATGTATTCGAAAGAATAAATGACCCTCCCAATCCCCTACCAGCTCGAGATTATAATTTCTCGACCCTTTCCCAATTTATGCTTACAAGGAGGTGGAGTCGGGCCAAGCCAGGACCATGTATCTCGTCCACGTGACAAAAGATTTTGACCCAATCCCGACCTTATGAATACCCGATTGATTGGAGAATCCCCGTCCCATTAGGAATAATATCGAGATAGACGACTTATTTTGCCATCGGTACTCGTTACTATTTCAATGCAATATGATACACCTTTTAGTTATGGTCACAATTCAAATCAAAAGTTCAACACACATATCAGTAGTCTAATTTCCATGCAGGCAGGTGCAAATATCTCTTGTATTAACTTGGCTTTTTTTCCAATCTCCACCTTACACCGGAATTAATTGATTCCCTTTGATGGGAAGTAAAATCAATAATCTGGAATTCAACTTTTGGAAAAATTAAAGTGTGTGTGTATAATTAGTTAGTTATTTAGCTTCAGAACGAATTTCCTTGATCCGCCGTGACGAAAATAGTTGCCGGAACGGCCAAGTCCGATTGAATCACCACTTGGTTACTCGATATGTTTCGAAGAGCATGGTTAGGAAAGGAATTCCCCGTTGTAATGAATGTGTATTGTACACGTTTGATAAGGTTAGGAAATAGGAGAACTGAATTCAAGTCTGCTATCCATGAGCTACCATTTCCGTGCACGCTTTGTCGTGCTACGGTCGCCTTCAGCTTCATTCCTTTCACATTGTTACGATCTATAACGACTTGATCAACTTGTTTGAATGCTCCCTTTCGTTGATCCAACTGAACGATATCAATTCCTCTATTAGATCCAGCAAACATGTTGTCTACGATGTTTACTCCGTTCATCACACCATTTATAGATTTCAAAAGAATATATGCATCGCCTAGGAAAAAGCTACTTGATATGTGGAGTTGGACCGGATCTTCAGCAACAATACCAGTGTAGTCGAGGTAGGAATTTACTATTCGAGTTTGTGTCAAGCCTGGCAATTTTAGGTAAATTCCAGTACCACCAAATCCAGTCGCCTTATTGTAACAATGTACACCAGAAAGTGTGTTTGCCTGACCTGAAACCATAATTCCAATAGCGGCAGAAAAAATTACAACGTCCGTGACAGAATTGTCATTGCCCATCAGGTTTATTGCCGTGCCGGAGAAGTGTTTTTCGCCACGATCTCCTCCGGCTGTAATATGTTGGCCAAGATACGAGCTCCGAATGTACGTTTCATGACCACCTTGGACTAAGATACCATTCGTCGTAAAATGGGTAATGTAGCAATTGTCAATACTAGTTCTAAGTGAGTTCACAACTTGAATGCCTCCACCCCGGTAATTCGAGTCCAACAACAAGTCTCTTAGTGTTATAAACTCGTAATTAAATGCCGATGATGATCCATTGTTCGATGAGGGTGATATATCGATCAGATAGCCATTGGCCGGGAAATTGTTTGATGCCTTTAATGTTCCTCCATGTATCTGTCAACATATCATAATATTGAATCAAGAACGATGAATATGTGTGGATACATTCACTGTGGCAGTTGAATTTAGGTAAACAGTTGAAAATGCCAAATGGTGTATTTATCCCTTCGGTAGAAGCTGATCACGTTTGTATTTAAAAAAACTTACCACTAGATTACCTCTTCCTGCTACCGGAAATTGTAACGGACGGCTGATCAAGTAATTCCCACCTTGAAGATTAATTTGTGCACCACCAAGATTAACAATTCCCTGCAACAAAAATCCATTGCTTGGACCCCTAAGTGCGTCTGATATTGCCCCAAGAAGTGCGTCTGTACTGTCCGTTACCCCGGTCGGGTCTGCGCCATATAATGTCACGTCATACACTAGTGGTCTTGGTTCACCAGGTGCAGCGTTAATGGACGGAGAATTAGATAGTACTGAATTGCGTTGAATGAGTGAAGCTCGGAACTGTAATCGGTCGCGCTCGGGCGAAGAACTCTGTCCATGAACTTGAATTGTGAGAAAAGTAGTCACAAACATAATAATCATGAATAAGGGTAGAGATCTTCGAGTGGCTGTCATGTCTGTATCTATCGCAAGCACAGAACTTTTCATTGTTTGTGTATATACATACAAGGGCCAGAAGAATTAACAGTGAACATGGAAAGAAGAGAGTGTAATCGAAAAGTACAAGAGAATATCGTTTGTTTATATAAGAAACGACATCATACAAATAACACCGTAATTGTGAAAATGGGCTCTCTTTAGATGTCCATTTGTTTAAATTTGTAGGTGGGCAAACGTGCCCAACTTTGCATTTAAGGATCTTAACAAGTTTGACGTTTTGTAAAAGGTATTTTGGGTCTCTTAAGCGTTACTTTATGTTTTGTTCATAGTTATTATTTTTAATGGCTATGTAATAGCTTGTTAATTATAATTAAGTGATTGTTTGACAATCTTTAATTTATTTTATGATTTGCTGTATGAGCATTTTCAATCACACATTCACACAATAAAATATTCTACACGTATATCAGAAATTTTTTTCCTACTTTTTAACCATACATTCACCTAAAAATCACTATTCAAAACACTTTTTTTTTTTTTGTTTACCAAAATGGTTGTCAAAGAGGTCTAAATAGTAAATAGAGATGGGGGCTGCGAATTATTCTATTTTGCCATAAGAATTTAACATCCTGGTTGATAGATGAAGTTGTGGGAAAAAATAATTGGATGATATGTTGACTATTTTTTAAATAATTCAATGAAATTCTGCCACGTAATGTTTCTATTATCTTGCATGTCATCCAAAAATGTTGATTGTTCCTTAATTTTTTTTTTTTATAACCGTGGATATTCGGGCCAACTTGCACACACCTCGACTAATCATATGGGATCCACGATCGGGTACTCACCTCAGTGGCCCTGAAGGGACTCGAATTGGTGATCACTGGAAAACAAATCCAAGACCTGACCAGTTGATTGTTCCTTAATAGTCGAGATATTTTACAGAGGTACTAATTATTTAACCCATGTTTGATATCTTATTTCAAAAAAAAAAATTCGACATTCATTTTCAACCACATATTTACACAATAAAATATTCTACACATAAATTCAAAAAAATTCCCTACTTTTTAACTACATATTCTCCAAAAATCACTATTTAAAATATTGAAATCCCAAATAATGATCATCAAACATGGGCGTAATTCTTCATATTTTAGTATTTATGAATAAGTACACGACGAGACAATATGCCACAATAGTTGACTAAGTAGATAATGATCTATTTTTGGGACCTTCGAGTCGACTCGAAGCTACAGGTGATATGCCAAGTTGTCTATGGACTGTTGGATTATTACAGATTGATATTGAGAAAAATGATAAAAACAAGATAAGTGATGTGACATCTTACCTATCCACTTTTTATTTTCCCTATATATATTCTCCGAAACCCTCTTTGGCCATACTCATTAATCGAGTTTCGTTTTTGTAGACGAACAGATAAAATAAATTCTACCAAATTTTGAGATTAACAAGTAGAAATGATTATTGCTTATGTGTGTGGGGAAAATTGACGCAATTGGGTTGTTTCAACTTCTTCAATGTGGAAAAAGCAAGCAAACAGAAATCATAAATTTATGGCCAAAAAACTGGACACACGTGTGGTGTGATATTATTGGTCCAGAAATTTTGATCAACTAAATATTAAGGACTTTACATTAGGCTTCTCTTCGAGACAACGACCTTGGTTGGCTTTTGTTGAATTTAATTAAAAGTAAAATAAAGCTTTTGAGAGTTTAATCAATATGTGTGACATTTGATATTTAAATGAGAATTAAAGAATTGTTGACTTAAAGACTTTTTATTATTTGAAAAATATCAAAGAATTTTTGCCTTTCTACAACCATCCCTCAATCATCGTGCTGCACCTTGCATCATAATGGGAATCGAGATTTTTTTGCATGCACACTCATAAAAATTTTGCTTTATCGAACCTCCGTCGAAACTGATAGGCTTTTAATATTTTGTATCAAATGGAAATTACTGGATTAACAAATCTTCTCATCTTCGTATAGTAACTATTCGAAATAAAAATTCCCTTATCCTCCTACTCGAAAAAATCGCCTAATTCCCTTATTTTTAAAATTAATTTTTGACCCAATGTACTTTGTCTCAACAATAATCAATTAGGGTCCGTTTGATTGCAAGGGTAGAAAATGGGTGGAAAGAAAATGATTTCCAAGGAAAATAATTGCCTAGAAAATGTTTTGTAGGGAATTATTAATTAAGTGTGTTTGATTGGTATAATTTTCCACCCGGAAAATTTTTAAATTTTCTATTCGTTTGCCTTTGTTTTACATGGAAAGTGTTTACTAAAGTGATAATTTTTTCCATAATTGGTTATAAAATTTGTTTCCATTGCCAAAAAATTAAAAAAAAAAAAAATTGTTTCCTAAAAAATTATTTTTTATCAAAGTTCAGTGTTCGTTTGACTTTATTTTATATGAAAATTGTCCATTAAAGTGAAATTATTTTTTACCATTGAGTATGATATTTGTTTCCATTGCAAATAAAAAAAAAAAAAAACCTGGAAACCACTTTTCCAACACTTTGTTGGGAAAACCAATTTACTTAAAACATGGAAGAGCACTGCTATGAGTACAGGGTTTTTTAACAATAAAGATACAGGAATTTGAAATGAATGAAAAAGATTGAAAGATTGCAGGAGGGAAAAAATACAAACACGGACATGATTCATTCATTTTAAAATTCTAGCACAATTCTGACAAAAATTCTTGTACTCGAGGAATTTTTCAACATGGAAAAGGGGTGGGAGGGAGGGGTGGAAAAGGTTTTGCCAATAAAAAATTTTGTCATCAAACAACAAAAAACTTGAAACTTGTCAAACGTGCCTTAACCACTACGCTTGTGAAGTTTCCGTCAAATCAAGTTAGTCAATAAAAAAGAATTGATCGAATAAGACGCGTTTTCAAGCGAAAATATACTTAAATATTGACTAGATCAAGTAGGAGTCTAGAAAAGGACCTTAGTTACTTACAAGAAAATATCGGAGCAAAAATATCATTAGATGGGTACAAATATTCCGAGATCTAGGGCATGTTTGTTACGACTCAAAATTCAATTAAAATTGAAAATATAGCCGTTATTGGGTCTCACTCATCTAATAAAAGTCAACAATAACGATTAGTTTTTCAATTTTAATCCGATTTTAATCTCTACCAAACACCCTCTATATCTTTTTCCCACCTAAAAGGTGGGAAAACAAAATCATCAAAAAGTGAGAAAAGGTGCACGTGTGAACCAAAGTGAGAAATGGTTTTCCATGGAAAATTTATACCATCAAACAAGTCAAAAGTACGAAAATGGAAAATGAATTCCTAGTTCTTGGGAAAAAAAAGACTATCAAACATGGCCTTAGTATTTTTTTAAAGCATGTTCTCGATTCTTCTTCTACTTCTTTTTCTTTTATCTATGCAGAGTACTTAACCGTTGTTTGATCCCAATTTTTTAAATCTCATTTTCCTCCAAACTCGAGAATGGAAATTCTCTCTCCAAAAGTGCTAAAAAAATATATCGAAGAAATAGTGCAAACATTTGCACATGGTACAACTGGGTTCGTAACACTTAAAAAAATTGATCAATGCTTAAAAAATTGATCTTGCTTGAGTGTGAGACAAACTCAAAGCCCAAATCAAAATTGGGCACAACTTGGTGTTCTTTTGGATTGGCCCATTTGACAATTTTTTTGGGATTTTCTATAAGTAGAAATTACACCACACACTAGTCTAAATTATCTTATTCAATTTGTACAGATCGATACATCTTTTTTCTAGGAATACTGGAAATTATTAGTAAAACTGATTTTTTTTATTCTTAATCTATGTTAGTTAAAATCTTAGATTACTCCATTACAGCCCCAAAATCGTGGCACTCATTCCTAATTAAACACGCAAAATATCTAACCCATTTTCATCCCAACTTCAAGAATCTTAAATCTTCACCAATTTCTCAATCCTCGAAGTTGTTGATAGCATTGACTTTACTAATGGTGGCTACAATTTTATCTTCTTTGATAGAATTCACTTTATCTTCGAAGTTGTTTTGTTTTCGGTGTCTACAATCCTTTGCATAGTGCCCAAGTTTTCCACGCACAAAACACCCTCCTCTGGTCTTTTTCTTGGACGTGTTGAAGTTTTTAAAAGGCTTCCTCTTGTTGGATGTCGCAGGCGGTTCAGTTTTCTCTACCGCATTTGCCTTGGAAGTGTCTTCATAAGAATTTTTATTCTTATCTCTCATTCTTGACTCTTTCTCAATGCATAAGTGTTTCTGCTATTGTTCCAAAGAATAAGTTTCAGAACTATGCATTATTTTCTTCCAGTGTCTTTTGCAAGTCCCGGAGAGTTTAGCAATTATAGCCACCGCTTGAAAGGTCTTCGGGATTTCAATCTTTACCGCCTTCATCTTGTGGACAATCACTTGAAGTTCATGAATTTGGGGAAGCAAGGGGATATTTCGTTCGGGTATCGCAAAGTGTTGGATGAGATCCCTGGTGGTTTTGGTGAAATTTCAACTCTTCAATCCATCTAGTTGTATGGCTGTAGTGATTCAATTGTAGAATCAGCAAAGAAAACAGAAGAGAAATAATTGGATTGGGGGAACGATACCTTCAAGTTATATATTAAAAAGTACTAAATGCACATAGTTTCGAAGTTGTCCATTCCAATCATTTACTGGTACCATTTTCTTTTGTGGACCTTTTCCACTTTAGTTTCGTCTTTATTATCTTTATCTACATTCTTACTTCCTCTCCGCTAAATAATTTTAGGTTTGGGTATGTGTGGATTGGGATTTTAATTTTAATTATTTTATAATAGAAAATGTAAAGTTACAATTTTATCCTTATAAAATTAGTCAAAATTATGGTTAACGTCAATTTTTTAGTCAGCTAACGGTCAAACTAACAATTTCCATCAATTTGGACTTTGGGTGCGAGTTTTTTAAAGGCTTAATATTGTGAATGGCACAAATGAAAAATTTGAGCAAAGTCTGCATTTAAATGAAATATTTGATATCATGACTGTAGTATATTTGATTTTTGCAAAATATTTTCAAGAGAATAAAATATTAGAGCTGAAAGTTGAAATCTTGAAGCCAAAATCAGAATCCAATCCATTGTTCTCGATTTTTGGAATTGTTCTTTATATGTTTTTCGAACCCGTGCCATTATTAGAGAAAAGTGGTACAATTTAACATAAGATAAAAGTATGATGAATAAAGCTGATTATATAAGTAGAAAAATGAACAAAAAAATGATAGTATTTATTACAATTAAAATATGGTGTAATTAACCAATATATTAACTTGAATAATAAGGTCCCTTTAGTCATGAGTCGATATTTATTGTTCCTATTTAACCGTATTTCTATTAAAAAAAAATCGACACTTTATCACGTCAATTCTCATAAGCAAATAATAAAACTCCCATCTCTCCAAGCTCTACACTGTAAATAGTTCTACTTTTTAAACGATGTGTTGTTATGTACTGACAAGCTTTGACGTGATACTATAAATCATCAAAAATAAAAACAACATATAAAACTCGTTAGTCGGTACTAATACTTGTCTATCCCTTTCATAGGATTATGGAAAATGACACTGGACAAACAATTATTAAAATATTTTTTAACTTTTTATCGCACACATATTTCTTTAATACGAATTTATTATTTTATACAATCGAATGGCGAGAATGTATGTAGAATAGAAGTTAGAGGTGAAGGTAGATGGGGGATGCAAATGGCAAATGCGGGATGACGAAGATACGCATGTGATGTGTAATTTTGGAATCCAGCTCATCACTCAATCAGATTCAGTCCTCTCAGCCTACTGGCCATGAATTGACTTTTAAACAATTAAATTTAGAATTTAACACAAATTAAATTACTTGAATGCTGGGGATTGGGAAAGGAAGTTTAGTGTTGGAGAAATAAAAAAATCTTGAAAAAAAAGCTGAACAAAAAAATTAATAAAATTTGAAGAAAAATCGAGAAATTTGAAAATTGAGTAGGGGCGACGGCCTCCACTGGGCCTCATGTAGGTCCGTCCCTAGTTAAATATGTGTTATCGTTACACAGAAATTGAAAATCTTTGAAATAAAATATTGATTTGATAGAAAAAATTGAATCTTTTAAACGGAAAAATGGGGCGTTCGCAGTGTCGTGTGAGGGTGAGCATTGGTGGGTCCGTCCTTGTTTTTCAAGAATCGGAATCACTCATTAAATTTTGAATGTTTTGTAAATAGAATCATTTGATTCCATGTAAGTTTTGGAATCGATTTGGAAGTTTTGGTTACGGTTAAAATGTCCGTCCCTAATTTGAGAAAGTGTTTTAAAAAAAAAAATTGTAAAGTGTGACTAAACGGTAATATGAAATTTTAAGTTTTTATAAGTCTTAAAGTAGAACCAGTGACAGTTAAGATGAAGACTAAACGTAAAAAAGGAAAAAAAAAGTAGCACGTCAAATCCTTGTTTGTCTATCATTAAAATAAAACTCTTTTTTTCTCAAACTTATTTTCAATTATACATTCATAAAATAAAAAAAATTTTTGCACGTAAATTCAAAAAATTTTCTTATTTTTTAACAATATGTTGTCAAGAAAATACTATTCAAAAAAATTATTTTTTCCAAAAAAATCTCATTAAAACAGTTGGCATACAGGGGCTAAATAATAATTAATAAGACGAAATTTCAAATCTGACGAACTTTGGAGACCAATGATCCTGGACAAGAATTCACGTGCATAATGCGTTATGGAAAGGTTTTGATGGGCCTCACATGCACTGGTGGGACCAGAGTTTGTGGGCCCTATAATATTCGCTGCTCATCAGTAACTTCGAACAATTTGTCCTGGACTTTGAACAAGTATACCCTGTAATCATTGTTAGATGTGGCTTATCTAATCATTTTGGCCCATTTTTACCAATTGGTTGACTTTATGAAACCAGCCTTCTATTGGAAGTAGCCCTCTTCAAGTCGCTCCGTCTGTAATGTGGCCCTCTCCTATACAAGATGGGTGCCTGCTATGATACTAATTGTAATAGTCACGTTAGGTGGATGAAATTCATCCTCAAAACTAACTTGTTGAAGTAAGGGTATTCAGGTGGTTATTAATCCACAAGGCAAGCAGCAATCTGGAATATAGTTGTATCTTTATACAATTAGAATATTAGATCATTAGGACAGGGGAATGTACCCGACGAATTCTTTGTAACATCACAGTCCAGTCAATGAGCAAAGACGATAAATTATTAGTATGAACGTCAGCCATGACGCTTTGTTGGGAGAAATTGCATACCATGAGACTGGGCATTGAATTTTCAGATTGTAGACTTGGAAAAAGTAGTATTTGTTTGAAGGATTATGCTACTTTACCCAAGTTGCATAACAAAAGTGGAGGTGCCCAAGTGATTTGACACATGGTCCAAGTTTTAATGGGCCTCACATGCACTAGTGGGACCAGAGTTTGTGGGCCCTACTGCCAATTCTCAGGGGCCACAAACCTCTAGGCCGCCATGACCTCAGAAGCCACCACCTTCTTATTTCACGAAACTGCCATAGCACACTTGCGTACCCTGGTTTGCCTGCTTGTTTGTTTTTCTTCCATCTATCTACAATAACAAGCTTGCTTTCCATGGCGTATTCTTCTCCAAATCATATATTTTTCAATCCCTATAATACCATGCCCACAAACGCTGTCGCTTTGTTAATCTTATCCTTTTTTATCCAACTCCTCGCTCTGCCACTAACCTTGGCCGAAACAAATACATTTTCTGGTAATTTTGTTTTCATTTTATCAATGCGTGGGTTAAATTTTTTTTTTCCAGATTTTCTTCGTTTCCTTTTTAGCACGTTTAGAATTCCTCTAACAAATGTGAGCTTTAGTTGCTGTAGTTGATTTTAATTCAAGAAGCGGAGAAAGGATTGTTTTTGATTGTTTAGATTGAAGAATTTTTATTTTTCTTTTTTTGTCTACATTTGAATTTCGAGGATACCAATCTTGTAAAGCTTAACTGCTGCTATAATCATTTTTTCACAATTATTGCCTGTAATTTCCCCCTTTTCCTCCTTATATCGAGTTGCCTTTGATCTATCCAGAAAAATATGGAAGTTGCAATTGCAGTTTTGATGCCGATGAGTAAAATATTTTTCTGTCTCCTGTCATTAAGCAGGAGGGCCTCATTTTTCTATGATGCAATGCAGTGTCAATTAGTGTGAGATTATCGCTGTTGTAGTGTTGTTTTATTTGTTAGACTCTATTATTCCATCCAAATTTTAAGATGTGTGGGCCCTTAACCTTCATTGTGCATTGAACATACAGAAGGCACAAAATATTTGTATCCAGAAATCCTTAAAGATGAGGCAGTGACGAGACTTGTTGATCTTGGCAAGGTACATAATTGAGCGTTTTTTATGTTATGCAAGTAAAGTTGAATGTGAATTCTCACTCACTGGCAAAACTTAATAGGTGACATAAAATACACAGAACTTCTCTAGTTCTGTTGTTTTACTTTTTAAACTTAAGTTTTATACTGACTTTGCAGGTAAGTGATTCACATGGATTTCTCGAGAGAACTTTCCAAAGTCCAGCTTCTGTCAGTGCAGGAAACCTTATTCGGGAGTGGATGGAGGATGCTGGTTTGAGGACGTGAGCTGTCAAATTTACTTCTTTTGTTTAACAATGTTCAGGAACATCTGCTGATGTTGCCTTCTTTTCAGGTGGGTGGACCAAATGGGCAACGTGCATGGTAGGATTGAAGGGATGAATCCAAGTGAGAAGGCTTTGTTAATTGGCTCTCATTTGGTGAAGCAATTACAGTACTTATGTTTTTATACTAAAATATTATAATTTCCAGTATGAGCTACTTATATCAGGCAGAGTCAATTTACCAGCTCTTTGTTTCAAACAGGACACCGTTATTGATGCTGGAATGTATGATGGTGCACTGGGAATCATTGCTGCAATATCTGCATTGAAGGTGTTGAATATCACCGGAAGACTTGGAAGACTCAGGCGGCCAGTTGAGGTAACTATACGTATACGTACTAAGAACTAACTGTATCAAATGCATTGCCTCTATAAATTTTGGTAATGTGACATTTTCAGATGATTGTCTCAATCGTTTGTGTACTGATGGGGATAAAGCCCAAAATATTGAACTTCTACATCCTGGAAGCACATATAGTGCTTGATCAGGAAAGCTTAAAAAGTTGCTATAATGTTGACTTCAAACTATAATGTTGACTTCAAAGTCAACAATTAATTTTAATCACACATTTCATGGGACCACAACTTTTCTATCACACATTTCATCGACCCTGGTTATTTTTTTTAATGGTAAAAATGTTGTCCTGTTTGATGAAAATTGTTTAAAATGGGGATTCAAGTTTGTCTTCGACAGACAGTTAGTTATAGAAGGAAATAGAAATCTTCTGTCTTGCTATAGGTGATAGAACCCTTATCTTGGGTACTGTGTAGCTCAAATTATAAGCACTTAATTTTCCAGATGAAAGGGATCTTGACCATCTTTTTTTAGAGCTAAGTATCTTGATTCTTTGCTCTCTTATTTTCAGGTTATTGCATTTAGTGACGAGGAAGGAGTTAGATTTCAGTCCACTTTCTTAGGGAGTGCGGCAATTGCTGGCGTGTTGCCTATTTCAACATTGCATGCGCAGGATAAGAGGTTCGCATTAGTAATTCAAGAAATTGTATTCACTAGTAAACTGATGTTCGTCTGCCCAATTGATACATGAAATTTATTCAGTGGTGTCACAGTGCAAGGTGCTTTGAAAATAAACTCCATTGATGCTACCGAGGAAAACCTTTTGCAGCTCAAATATGATCCCAAATCTGTCTGGGGTTACATTGAGGTACACCAGCATTTTCCTACCTGGAAGACTGCAGCTTCAGGCAAGAAACAAGGGAAGTTTATGTTACTAAGGATGCTTGTCCTAAATTTATTTTTATTGCATTGTAGGTTCACATTGAACAGGGACCTGTCCTAGAAACTGCGGGTTTTCCTCTTGGTGTGGTAAAAGGGATTGCAGGACAGACACGGCTAAGGGTAACTTAGCTTTTATATCATATTGTTCAGAAGTATATTTGCCTGTTTTTCATGTGAATCTCTGAAACTAGTAATCTACGGCCAAGGCCATATTTTCCATTGTTGATTTTTTTCCCCTAGTAGTATAATTTTTATTTTACATTTTTGAAAATGAAGTATGCCATTTGCTTCTTGTTTTATTTTAAGCAGGTCTCCTCTTCAATAAGTAGGTAAAAATTAAATTTGGTTGATCTGCAATTGGTCACACTCACTTATAAAGTAGGTCCTATTAGGAGTTTAGTGTTTGTTTGGGAGAGATTATTTGAAGTGAAAAATGATTTTTTTGGAGAATGCATGGTTAAAAGTAGAGAAATGTTATGGGTTCACGTGCAAAAAAATTTTATTGAGAGAATGTGAGGTTGAAAATGAGTGAGGAAAAATGATTTCAAATAAACTGTGCCAAACATACACTTAGATATGCAGCTCAGCCATGAATTTTGTACCTCGTACACGAGGCTAAACCTGAGCCATCACCCTCTATTGGTTTTGTACAATATCTTGTACACAAGTGAGGCTTGCTTTGGAAGCCATCTTGTAATTATATATTTCTTTCACTTAAATTGGAAGATCTCACTTCCCATAATTTGCAGGTGACCGTAAAAGGTTCACAGGGGCATGCTGGGACAGTCCCCATGAAATTGCGTCAAGATCCAATGGCTGCTGCTGCTGAATTAATTGTGTTGTTGGAAAGTCTTTGTAAACAACCTGAGGAATATCTATCCTATGATGGTCAGTGCACGGCTTCTACGGTGCAAACTCTTGCAGGATCTCTCGTTTGTACTGTTGGAGAAATATCTACCTGGCCAAGTGCAAGTAACGTGATTCCCGGCCAGGCAAGTATTCAAAGGCTTGAAACTACATATTGTTTTGCAATCATTCCATGTTCACATGAGCATCAAACGAGGAATTTACTATTTTCGCAATGAAAATGATTCTTCTGCTTGCAGGTGACCTTCACTGTTGACATACGGGCAATGGATGACCTAGGGCGAGAAGCTATTATATATGAAATGTCTAACAGGATGTACCAAATATGTGATAGGCGTTCGGTTTTTTGTCATATAGACCGTAAGGTGCGAGATTTGCATCCCAATTTTTTATACATGTGCGAAAAAGTAATTTGTATCTCATTTGATTTTGGATAATTTCAGCACGATGCCAATGCAGTGATTTGCGATCAGGGGTTAAGTTCAGATCTAAAATCTGCGGGTTATGCTGCTCTGAAACGATTAACGGGCGAGAATCCAGACGATGTGCCTGTATTGATGAGTGGAGCAGGACATGATGCAATGGCCATGTCTCATCTAACTAAGGTCTGCTATGTCTTTTCTTTGCCTTTTACGATATGAATAATGTATGAAAGCTATCCGTAGTCCCATTGCAAACCACTGGCATCGTAAAGAAGTGCACGTTTTATAAGCTAGTTGAACTCTATTTTATTCCCCACATTTGTTACGATCCACAAATTTTCTATTTTTATCCATTTATTATCTACATTCGTACGGCCACAACTTATTATCCAAACATGCTCGCTGAAGCAACTGAGTGCCTGAGACTGTTGTATTCCTCCTTTTATCTTTAGATATATACTTCCTCACATAATTATGATTTGTAATGTTGGATAGGTTGCCATGTTGTTTGTGCGTTGTCGTGGTGGTATTAGTCATTCCCCAGCAGAGCATGTGTCAGACGACGATATTTGGGCAGCCAGTGTGGCGGTCCTAGCATTCCTGGAAACTCTTGTATAAATTAGTTGCTGTGTTTTGCGATCTTGCGATCCTCAAAATTGCAACATAACAGCTTTTATCTCATGAAAAATGCATATTCACCCTGCCAAGCTCTCTTAGTTGAGATCTTAAACACTTATTTGACATCCGACTTGATTAACAAGTTGTGTATACAATGCAATGAAGAAATGTTATTTATCCTATTACATTTGATCATCAGATAATATGATACAACATCAATAAAATGAATCTTACTTTCATACATTTAATTGGTCTTTTATCATTTCATAACATATTAAGTGCCACATAAATAGGTGAACACCTCTAATTAAGATAAATAACATTATTCAGGAAAAGTATAAGTGTTATGCCATTTAAAAAAAAACCATGCAGGTAAGAAATTCCCTTCCATCAATAACATCAAATATTTTCATCGGTCTGTGTGTCAATAATACAATTTTTGGCATCAAAAGTAGGGAAGAGGAGGAAAAAGAGCACGTTCCTTCACTTTATCCTTTTTGGCTGAATCAAAGTAATAATAAAACTAAACGAATAAAACAGATCAGCAAGAAAGAACCATTCACCATTCAGAAAAACTTGTAAACGAGTCCTCAAATATCAGTAAATTCAAATCCCACTGAAATATTTTTGGCAAACTGCGGGTCAGTGATAGAGATCTTGACAGCAATTGTCACAGAGATGAAAGTGCCTGTGAAACATTGTGAGATATCCGGTCGTGTACATGTTCCTGCACCAAGACATCGAATGCCATTAATACTCGATGTTGTCCCAACAGAAAGATGTTATATCTACCAACTATTTATCACCTTAGTCACGGGCATTTCAAACTTCGACTTCGTTATTGTCTCGTATAAAAAAATATACCTGTAATCGAAGGAATAAATAAGTGTAAAGAAGTCTTGTATATTAGCTTCCAACTTGGCTAATTTTCCATTTAATATGAAATAATATAACTCTACAAACTCAGCATGAGATAGAAGTCACACCGCCAAGCTAATTCAGAAACAAGTTCTCCGGGTGCATCAGGCAAGACCTAAGAAAGTGTTGACCATAGTGATTCAGCATATAAATCACATCAACAAGAAAACAAATGTTATTTTTATCTAAGTTTACCTCATCTTCATATGGGTTGCAACGATCTTTGAACCACAACCTCAAAAATTCCTACCAAATATCCAGTTATCCAAGAAGTCAGTAAGACTGTAGATCTACTCAAAAGGAAGACGTCAGTATATAATAAATGGATGTAACAAGTCAAAATTATGATGAACCTTGTCAATGTTCTCGGGTTCAAGACAGTTCTCAAAGCGTTCCTCATAAGAATCAGCAATCCAATACCTGCTCGAGTCAGGTGTATGCACCTAAAATTGACGTGTAGGAAAATCGGAATTTGTTCTCACAAAATGTATATATTTTCAGTAAGAAAGGGTGTTTTAGTTAGATCAATAACCTCATCAATCAAAAGCACTGTGCCATCAGATCCCTTTCCGAATTCGTATTTAGTATCCAACAATATCAGGCCATGTTCCAGAGCTACTTGCTGAGTTTAAAAATAGCATTAAAATGTAAAACAAAATAATCCATGTTTGACTTAGTAGATACAAGCATGCATGTGAATGCATTGGTCTCACGGGAATGCTTCCATATTATACAGAACAAAATCACATATACTCTTAAATATGAAACTAAAATGCATATCATCACGACCCAAAAACTAAAATGATGCTCCTATCGTCTATAACTTGGTTCATGCAATAATTAGGTAAAAAATCTTTTTGTCTGCCAGTTTGCAATAAGCAAAATCTTAGATTTGATAAAGTAAAAAGAATAAGAGAATGAAGTTGAGACTAGCACCTGCCCATAGTGGAAGAGACTTAAAGCTTTCATACTTGCTTCATCATATTCATCTTGAGTCATCAGCCCACGCTGAACAATCTGCAATACAAATTGAGCACAACATAAGCATTGTGCAATTGACATCTTGATACTTGACAAATTATTCAATCTGCCATATATGCTAGTTTGACTCTTAGATAAGTTAGTTGGCACAAATTCCCGTACTTTCTATGTCCAACTGTTTTCTTCTTCCCTCTCTTTTTGACCAAATCCATTCCCATTTATATACTCAAAATAGTGCATGAATATCTGCAATAGTGAAATATCTGTTAAAATATGAGAGGGAGCCTCAATAAATGTGTCCTTTTCAAGAACAGAATTAGGATATGCTCACACCTGTTGTTTATGCATGATATGCTAGTCTATTTTTTGCTATAAGGATAGCTATGCAACTGACGTGGATATAGCTACACCTACATGTTAACATTCTTTACAATTTGCAACATTTCATTGAAAAGAGAATATACCGTAGATATGAAGCTTTTTATTCAGTATCATCCTTAAGTGGGGGCTAAATAAACGCCAGGTAAGGTTCCACAATTCCAAGAAATTGGATTTTCAATAAAATTTGAACAACCTCGAATAATCAGAGTTATCAGTGAAAATTTTGATCAAAGAATTTGCAACTAAAATTGGTTACCAAGAACAGAAATATAAATGGACTGAATTGGTACATACTCTGTCTAAATTTTGATTAGGGGTCAGTACAGTTTTGAACGTATAGGTTTAAATTAATTTACACAGATGAGTGGTATTGGACCAATGCCATACCTCTCATCGTGGGGAATCCTTGTGGTTTATCACCTTTCGAAAGGCGTTAAACAGGCCTATAGGTTCGCCTTTATGCCTTTCTAATAGAAGAAATGTAATATAGGTGATTAATCTTACATATGGAGAAAGAAATATTAGTTGGGTTGCTTAAACTTGAAGTTTGTTCCTCAGCTAAATATTTGACTTTGATCCTTTTATAATTAGCCTGTGGAACCATTTTTGTCAAAGACCAGCAGCTAGTCTATCTGGCTGATTAACCTATCCTAAACAGCAGAAAATTTCCTATCCCTATCCCTCGTCTGACTTAAATCCAATCTACAAATTTGATCTCCATCCTAAAAAGTTTCATCCTATGAAAATAGGTTTATCAAAATGGTTCACATTTATTTTAGCGCTAAATCTTATGAAGTAAATTGCCTGTCTGTCTGCCATGTGAATAGCGATTAGGTTCCCTCTCTAATACATGTTCTGTGATAGAAAACAATGCATTCTGGTACTTCCCAAGACGTTGGAGGAATATCACAACGTTTATTGTACTATGAAACCTTACATTCAAAATTCAAAATAAAAATAAAAAATTACTTTGTACTACACTACCATAATTCTAGTGGAGCCACTATTGTACAGAATCAGCTTGATATTAAATTTGACCCTGAACTTCAGAATAGTATGTGGCAAGGTTTGAACTCGTGTTATGCTTACTGGTAACTAGTGAAGCTCAATAGAGATCATATTCTACAGGTTCAATAATAGATTGATTAGGTGAAAGGAGAAGCCTACTAAGCAAAGACCGAAAGCATTCATAACTGCAGCGGCTATAAAGAACGTTAGGAAATCCAGACCTCCTGGGGGGTTACAGGAACATCATGATCTGCAGCTTTAGTTGTAGGTGTGAGTATATTTTCTGGTAGCTTTTGGTTCTTCACCAAGCCTGTTACAAGTAGATGCAGAACAGTATAAAGCCAAACATGCGGTATAAGTTGAGCATTATGTATCAATCACAAACCTCACCATCGGGAAGAGCATTGCCACAATAATTTCGAACACCATTTTTGTAAACAGTCCAAAGTGATGTATCAGTACTTCCAGTCACATAACCTCTAACTACAAATAAGCAACAGTGTTAAAAAGCACAACAATTCTTGTATGCATGGAAAGATATGGCCTTTTAGAATTATACAAAATTAAGAAAATTGATCAGAAAAAGGTTAGAATTATTTGAATAACTCACCAACAAATTCAACAGGAAAGACAGAACATTTCTTTGCGATAGTGACGTTCTTATCTGGTGATAATACCACTGCATTTGGAGTTATGTGCTGAGTTTTACTAAACCACCATAAACTTGTTTCGTTGAGCACCTATATGTAGTCAAAAGCGGAAGGAGGAATTTTTTTCAAAAAAAAAAAAAAAACAAGATGAAGCTTAATTACTAGAAAAATATTAATTTTCAACAAGAAATCATTTTTTTTTTTTGAGCTTTGATGATTTCCCACTGCAAAGTAGCTCAAACGTGGGAGATGAAAACTACAATTACCTGACCCTTAAAGGGAATTGAAGCAAGGATTCTATCAAAAGCACTTTGCCTATCAGTTGTGACCAGAACAAGATAATCCCCTCCATCATATATATCTCTGACCTACAACATCAACTTAATCATCATTTTTCCATCCAGTACATTCAACACTTTATATGGTGGTCGAGAAAATGAATGGAAAATTCATGAAATGGGCAATATGTTAATAGCATTGCATTTCTCCAACCTTATACCTACTGAATAATAAGCATTTGACTATACTCCATTTATTATCCGTTAAAAGGGATGCATGTTCAACATTTTTCATAAAACTTAACATCCATTTTCCTTGGTCCCCTGATTAGCTCTCTAATTTTGACAGAAATGGAGTTTCCTCTAAACCCTAAATCACCATAAAGAATCAATCTTTTTCAATAATTTAACTCGGAAGCCAAACAAGAAGTCCCTAGTAGATTCTTGAGCAAAAATTATGACTGCTTGAGAAAAGAATTACCTTGCCTCTGGTTTTGGATTTGAGCCCAGGAACAGTTAAATCGAGATGGGTCTCGGACAGACAGTTGGAAACTGAGTTTTTTATAACATTCATTACTTCAGTTTTGCGGTCTCCATCTGTTAATGCCTGAAGAGAAAGCGATTGCGGCGTTTGGTGTTGGGTGCTTGACATTTTTGATGATGCAGAGATCATAATTGAAGGAAATTTTTTCTTTTTTAGAAGTTTTGAAATTGATTTAACTGGCAGTGGAGATGATGATGGCGTATTGGCCAGTTGGAGCTGATTTAGGTTTAAGGTTTTTGGAGGGTTTAAGGATTGAGCCATTGATTTTCCTTCTTTCTGTGTTTTCTTGCAGGTATCAGCCGAATGAGCGGCCTAATACCGTTTATTGTCATGGTGACGTCATTTCCACCCACAATTTCCATATATATGTTCACTTCAAAAATTTTGGGTAATTTCACAACAAAATTTACTTGGTGCACCACAATTTTAATAATATTTTTATTTATTTAGATGGCCCTAAATAAAATTACTTAATTAACCACACTTCTAAATATACATTTTAACATAATTTTTGTAGACATCACAATCATTAACCATCCATCCATTATTTCTTTGTAGCTGAATACCTCAAAATTGAACCTTTTGAATCGATTTGTTGTCAAAATTCAAACCGTAACTCACTGGATTGTAATAGGATTTCCTCGACTTGGACCTCGTTCTTGTTGAACCAGCAAATAAATGTCTTCCACTTCGGTAGCAAATAAATGTCTGTAGTGATAGTTTTTTTTAATGATTTATGCATCAAATCACAAACCACCAGGGTACCACTTATATGCAACATAGGAAGG